TCCTGTTTTGAGACAAAAAAATAGGCACTTGATCATTGTGCTATATTCCATTAGTTTGTTTGATTCCTGTCACATTCATGGCTCAGCTACCTGGGCCTGGAGAGACCTAATTCTGTTGTGAAGCATCAAATGTGGCAAGGTTCCATGAGGAAATTCCACCTTGCGGCCTTAAGCTTTGCAGTAATCGCCGCAGTTGCTCTATTTATTCAGATTCCATTCAGACAAGAAAAGCAAGGGAAGAAAAAGTAATCAAGCTGCGTGAAGGTACAGGATTCCTTGCTTTATATCTCATGCATCTCACCAAGCCACCAATTACAGGATCAACTAAATGGACAAAGAATCACATTTCACATCTGCCAAAAAAAGTAAATTTACAAAGAGAACTTAAAAGATGTACCTAAGGCAGGAAAGTTGCAAACACTGGGAAATTTCCTCCGTTGTAAGAGTCATTTTCCTTTCTGTGACAGACCCTATGAACGGAAGTAACCAGAATTACACGCCACCAGAATACTTGAGAACTGGGCCGGATTATGGTGGATATTCAGCTAGACCTCGTAGGAGGAATGGATTGTCCTCCTCGTTTGCTGTGGTTAGGCATATCGATATGTTATCTATGAAAGTCATTGGTGCATCATATTGGATAATTTATTTCCAGGAACATATCAGATCAGTCTTTTTTCATATGAAACAGGCTCCCAGAGGAGGAGATCCTGATCCACGGTTCATTTTTGGGGTAAGCAATCCCAGTGGATTTCTTGGCGTATCCAGGTAAATTTGTTCTTCTTTCTACACACCCTCACTTCCCAGGATAATCTCTTTCCAGCAATACATAACTAGAAGATCTATGCTGAAGTAGGAACATGATAAATCTAAGCTGTACGAAGTTTCTTTGCAAGGTAAAACTGCCTTGTATGGTCACTGGTCTTTTAGCGAGATTGAACTGTTTATCTTACCAACCTAGGACCTTGAGAACAAATAAAAGTACAAAAGGGCTTCCCATTTTAAGGAAAGGGGAGATAGCATATAATCATCCCATCTTCAAGTTACATTTCTTATCCATGCCTATTCGCTCTAATATACAAATTACTGTCACATGAGCTCTTGCCAAATCTTTGTGGACAATTCCAAAAGATGCCACACAAGAAAGTAAAAGAAATGAAAAACAATAGTTATCATAAAGATTTAGTTTTGATTCCGGTTCCCTCCCCCCTCTGGGTGAGGGGAAATTGTACAACACTGAAACTTGGAACATAATCACATCTTCCAATCCAACTGAAGAAGTAGGAGCCGAATGTAAGGTCAAAATTCTTTTTCCAAGAATTATAGACTAAAGCACACCAGTATATGTATCAAATAATGAAATCATAAGTGTATACTGCATATTAAGTAGCAGCCTGGATATGAGCAATCCAAAAAAAAAAAAAAAGAAATTTCATTAAAAGGGCTTGCTCAGAAACACTTGTTAACTAAACATAACAGAATGTAAAGTGGAGCTAGCTTGAAGAAAAGATAGAAAAATCTGTTTATTTCCTTTAATTTCAAACCCTACATTTCTTCTAGAGGATTTAAGGATGGAATGCATGCCTCTTCATGCCAGTTCTGATGATTATGTCCGTTTGATGTTCTTTAATTACCAACGGATGATGCAAGGACATGATGATTGTGTGGGATATTCAGGAAGCATAGAGTATTGTTGTTTAGATTGAAGAGAGATGAGAGGCGAGGGGGACGAGGAAGAAAGCATCCCTTAATTTTCACACTAGTCCAACTTAAGAACTAGGTGGAATGGATTAGTCCTATAACCATTTTCTTCGTTTGTATCATTCGTTTCCAGTTTATGGATACGATGCGAAATCTCAAATTTGTGAATGGATAAAAAAAAAATCAGGTACATAATTTTGAAATCTCAGTGTGTGAAAACTAATAAAATGACTTGCAGTTTTCCAGCCCCACCACATTTGCAGAATCAAACTCAATACTTCAACATTGACACAACAAGAAACACAATACCATCGCCACCTGCAGCTATTGCTTTGCCAAGTTTTCAGCTGCAACCGAGTGTGCCACCTGCAGCTATTGCTTTGCCAAATTTTCAGCCGCAACCGAGCGTGCAAGGCCCCCAGGACGGGTCCAAATTATCTCAAGAAGAGCAAAAGAAAGTCTTGAACAGGCTGAAGAAAGAAGCATATAATCCCGTGACAAAATTGTCGAGAAGGAAACCAAATCTGTACTACCGAGATAACCCACTTACTATTTCCAAAGAACTAGAAAAAGAGAAGCATGAAGAAGGTAAGAGGTGTGCCATTTGCTTGGAAGATTTTGAGCCTAAAGAGATAGTTACGATTACTCCTTGCAACCACATGTTTCATGAGGAATGTATTGTTCCTTGGGTGAACAACGAAGGTCGATGCCCTGTTTGTAGGTTCGCAATCAGTGAAAGGTTCGGAGAAACTGCAGCTGGCTCTAGCAATGTGACTGCAAATGACCATTTTGGGAACGATCTGACTGCAATCGTGAGAGCCATGGAAGAAGCTTTTGTACCTGAAAACATGAGGAGGTTTGTGGAGTTCCTTACCTAACAAGGACAAATTTTTAGTTTGAGCAGACTGTTAGGGAAGTTGTTTTTCTGGAGCTACCTTCTGTGATTCAGCAAGACAATACATTGAAGAAATGACAGTATTTGTGTACAGAATATAGATAGTCGTTTGGCAACAAATGCGAAGAACCGAAGGAAAATGAGACTCAGTGGATGCAAATGGGATAATTCCTCTACCACAAGAAGTTTGCGAATGAGGAATGGATTCCATCAAAAAAAAACTCGGGCAGCAAAGAGTGTTAGTTGCACAGTACTTTATTGTGATTCGCAGTATGTTACTTCCGTGCACAGATGTTAATGTCCCATCCAATTATAAAGGTCACAAGCTATTACATATTACTTATCCCAAGTTTCCCACCAACCAACCGAGCAAACTGAAATTGCAAATGCTGTACTTGAGCAAAGAGATTATGCAGAAAACATCATAAAAATACAACAAAAAAAAAGGGAATGGAGGAGTTAGAAATTACATAAAGAAAAAATATAACTAAGGGAGCCTTGTGGAACATTATTAACAGAGGCTAACTAGTTTTTACCAGTTTCCATAAGACAAATTGAAATGAATCCGCTTTTCCTGTGCAAACAAAATTAGCTTTGCTGGGATGGTTGTTTTCGCAGGGAGATAGTTGCACGAAGTTAATCCATTGTCGTCAAGAATTCCAACATCTGCAACCTGCAACCTAGGCTTCATTTCCTGTTTAGCCCTGGCCTAAACTGAATTCCATTAGCATCATGCTACTCTATATAATTTTTTTTGGAACAAACCTCCCCTGAGGTTTTCAATAATTACAGAGAGCTCCTCCAAGTTTTAAAAATTACATATACCTACCCTATTTTTATTGTTTAGTCACAATGTAGGTCCAACAAGATAGATTTTCTCACAAAAATCGTAAATTACCCTTTTGTATAAAACTAAGAAAGAAAAATATAGTCTACTCAATCATTTTCTTTCACCCAAAACAACAAGTCTAATCCTTAACAACCATCCAAGCATAAATTCTAAAACCAAGTAGCCGTCCAAAAGATTCCAAATTGCATATATAGTATCAATACTTGACATGCAAAAAAAAAAAAAGAAAAAGAAAACACACACACACACAAATCCTATTGACAATCAATTTTATACCTCCAAAATTAAATATCAATACTCAAATACGTTTTTAATACATGCTAATCTGATATAAAATCACCATGACAACCAGAAAAAACCATTCTTCATAATCCTGGCTTGGAAAAATTCCAAGCTTCCTACAGTCAAATATCCTTTTTTCCTTCCTACCGAAAGAAACAGGGGAAAAAAAACCAAAAAGCAGTATTTCTTTTTATTTTAACATTTCTATTTCTCATAAAAAATGTCAGATTACTTCCCTGAAGAGGTTTTAGTTCATGTCCTCAGAAGGGTTCCTGCGAAAACCCTCCTGAGACTGAGGTGCGTAGCTAAGTCATGGAAATCTTTGATCTGAAGCCTTCATTTCGTCTCCATGCACACCCATCATGCTTCTCTCTCAAAAATCCTCCACCCCAGATGATAGAATGCTTGTGAGGCGCTACTGCAAACACCGACGGACTGAACGTTACTCAGTATACCACGAAAATGAGGACTTCACAGGGGAAAATGAGGTCAAAATATTCTTCCCTTTTCGCCAGTTAGTGCAGTATTATTTCAGGATTGTGGATTATAGCAATGGGTTACTATGTTTGTCTGATGATGTTTTTGGATACATGACCTTATTATGCTGTGCAACCCTTTCATCAAGCGAAAAATCACTCTTCCTTTGCCCCGAGCAAGTTGTAAAAACTTTTGGCCTAGTATGTACTCCTTGTTAGGATTTGGATGTCACATAAAAAACAGTGATTTTAAGGTCGTGAGAATTGCTTATGCTGAACAGAGTCATGGGGATATTATGCCTTCTATAGCAGAAGTTTTTGCACTACGTGTAGGTAATTGGAGGGTGATTGCTGCTAATTTGCCTCAAGCGGTGATTCCACACTTCTGGACTCATGCATTTGTTAACGGAAAGGTGCATTGGGTTGGTTACAGATTCAATATAGAGGAGGAGAATAGCACGGAGAATTTGATAATGGCCTTTGGTTTGAGTGATGAGGTGTTCAAGGGATTGTCATTGCCTAATGCTTTGGTTCGTGAGTCTACTTTACATTTGTGCAATTCTGTTTGCGAGGATGCAATCGCTGTTCTCCATTATGATGCTAGCTCCGCAAATTTTAACTCGATAATATGCATTGTACTTGCAACAATCTCTGTCCTCTGAAAGGTCAGTGTCATGGTGATTATAGCTTGTGTAGTTTGGATGGAAAAGTTACAATCAACCGAAAGTGCAAACAGATTATGTTGATAAGTTAAACAAAATTTTACATCCTTCTCATAAGGGAAAGTCCATGAAGCTTTCTATGGAAGGAAACAAGAGATGATGAATGAAAACAAAGAGTCTTTCAATCCCTGTTTTGAGACAAATAGGCACTTGATCATTGTGCTATATTTCATTAGTTTGTTTGATTCCTGTCACATTCATGGCTCAGCTACCTGGACCTGGAGAGACCTAATTCTGTCGTGAAGCATCAAATGTGGCAAGGTTCCATGAGGAAATTCCACCTTGCGGCCTTAAGCTTTACACTAATCCCCGTAGTTGCTCTATTTATTCAGATTCCATTCAGACAAGAAAACAAGGGAAGAAAAAGTAATCAAGCTGCGTGAAGGTACAGGATTCCTTGCTTCATATCTCATGCATCTCACCAAGCCACCAATTACAGGATCAACTAAATGGACACAGAATCATATTTCACATCTGCCAAAAAAAGGAAATTTACAAAGAGAACTTAAAAAGATGTAATAAGGCAGGAAAGTTACAAACACTGGGAAATTTCCTCCGTTGTAAGTCATTTTCCTTTCTGCGTCAGCTGACAGACTCTATGAACGGAAGTAACCAGAATTACACGCCACCAGAATACCTGAGAACTGGGCTGGATTATGGTGGATATTCGGCTAGACCTAGTAGCAGGAATGGATTGTCCTCCTTGTTTCCTCCACCTGCAGGAGGTCCTCTGGTTAGTCTTCAGCATATTGATATGTTGTCTAAGAAAGTAATTGGTGCATCATATTCGATAATTTATTTCCAGGAACATATCAGATCAGTCTTTTTTCATATGAAACAGGATCGCAGAGGAGGAGATCCTGATCCACGGTTGCTGTTTGGGGTAAGCAATCCCGGTGGATTTCTTGGCATATCCAGGTAAATTTGTTCTTCTTTCTGCACAACCTCACTTCCCAGGATAATCTCTTTCCAACAATACATAACTAGAAGATCTATGCTGAAGTAGGAACATGATAAATCTAAGCTGTACGAAGTTTCTTTGCAAGGCAAAACTGCCTTGAATGGTCACTGGTCTTTTTCTGGGATTGAACTGTTTATCTTACCAACCTAGGACCTTGAGAACAAATAAAAGTACAAAAGGGCTTCCCATTTTCTGGAAAAGGGAGATAGCATACAATCATCCTTATCTTCAAGTTACAATTCTTATCCATGCCTATTCACTCTAATATACAAATTACTGTCACATGAGCTCTTGCCAAATCTTTGTGGACAATTCCAAAAGATGCCATACAAGAAAGTAAAAGAAATGAAAAACAATAGTTATCATCAAGATTTGATTTTGATTCCAGTTCCCTTCCCCCCTCTGGGTGCGGGGAACTTGTACAACACTGAAACTTGGAACATAATCACATCTTCCAATCCAGCTGAAGAAGTAGGAGCCCAGTTACAGCAACAAATTTTATCCTGGTTCCATCTTAAATACATTTACTAATGACACCAAAGTTTCACCTGAATGTAAGGTCAAAATTGTTTTCCAAGAATCATAGACTAAAGCACACCAGTATATGTATCAAATAATGAAATCACAAGTGTATACCGCATATTAAGTAGCAGCCTGGATATGAGCAATCCAAAAAAAAATGAAATTTCATTAAAAGGGCTTGCTCAGAAACACTTGTTAACTAAACATAACAGAATGTAAAGTGGAGCTAGCTTGAAGAAAAGATAGAAAAATCTGTTTATTTCCTTCAATTTCAAACCCTACATTTCTTCTAGCGTATTTAAGGATGGAATGCATGCCAGTTCTGATGATTATGTCCGTTTGATGTTCTTTTAATTACCAACTGATGATGCAAGGACATGATGATTGTGTGGGATATTCAGGAAGCATAGAGTATTGTTGTTTAGATTGAAGAGAGAAGGGAGGCGAGGGGGACGGGGAAGAAAGCGTCCCTTAATTTTCACACTAGTCCAACTTAAGAGCTAGGAGGAATGGATTAGTCCTATAACCATTTTCTTCGTTTGTATCATTCGTTTCCAGTTTATAGATACGATGCCAAATCTCAAATTTGTGAATGGATAAAAAAGAATCAGGTATATATTTTTGAAATCCTAGTGTGCGAAAACTAATAAAATGACTTGCAGTTTTCCAGCCCCACCACATTTGCAGAATCAAACTCAATACTTCAACAGTGACACAACAAGAAACACAATACCATGGCCACCTGCAGCTATTGCTTTGCCAAATTTTCAGCCGCAACCGAGTGTGCAAGGCCCCCAAGACGGGTCCAAATTATCCCAAGAAGAGCAAAAGAGAGTCTTGAACAGGCTGAAGAAAGAAGCATATAATCCCATGACAAAATTGTCGAGAAGGAAACCAAATCTGTACTACCGAGATAGCCCACTTACTATATCCAAAGAACTAGAAAAAGAGAAGCATGAAGAAGGTAAGAGGTGTCCCATTTGCTTAGAAGATTTTGAGCCTAAAGAGATGGTTACGATTACTCCTTGCAACCACATGTTTCATGAGGAATGTATTGTTCCTTGGGTGAAGAACGAAGGTCGATGCCCTGTTTGTAGGTTCGCAATCAGTGAAAGATTCGGAGAAACTGCAGCTGGCTCTAGCAATGTGACTGCAAATGACCATTCTGCGAGCGATCTGGTTGCAATCATAAGAGCCATGGAAGAAGCTTTTGTACCTGGAAACATGAGGCGGTTTGTGGAGTTCCATCCTTAACCATATGACCTAACAAGGACAAATTTCCAGTTTGAGCAGACTGTTAGGGAAGTTGTTTTTCTGGAGCTGCCTTCTGTGATTCAGAAAGACAATACATTGAAGAAATTACAATATTTGTGTACAGAATATAGATAGTCGTTTGGTAACAAATGTGAAGAACCGAAGCAAAATAAGACTCAGTGGATGCAAATGGGATAATTCCTCTACCACAAGAAGTTTGCGAATGAGGAATGGATTCCATCAAAGAAAAACTCGGGCAGCAAAGAGTGGTAGTTGCACGGTACTTTATTGTGATTCGCACTATGTTACTTTCATGCACAGATGTTAATGTCTGATCCAAATAAAGGTCACAAGCTATTACATATACTTATCCCAAGTTTCCCACCAACCAATTGAGCAAAATGAAATTGCAAATGAAGTAAAGAAAATGTGGATGCTGTACTTGAGCAAAGAGATTATGCAGAAAACATCATAAAAATACCACAAAAAAAAAGGGAATGGAGGAGTTAGAAATTACATAAAGAAAAAAATAACTAAAGGCCAAAAAACACATTAACAAAGAAATTCGCACGAACCAAGTGAGCCTTGTGGAACATTATTAACAGAGGCTAACTAGTTTTTACCAGTTTCCATCAGACAAATTGAAACGAATCCGCAAAAGTAGCTTTGCTGGAATGGTTGTTTTTCCAGGGAGATAGTTGCACGAAGTTAATCCATTGTCGTCAAGAATTCCAAAATCGGCAACCTGCAACCTAGGCTTCATTTCCTGTTTAGCCCTGGCCTAAACTGAATCCTATTTGCAGCATGCTACTCTACATAATTCTTTTTTGGGACAATTTAACAAACCTCCCCTGAGGTTTTCAACAATTACACAGAGCTTTCCCAGGTTTTAAAACTTACATATACCTCCCCTACTTTTACTGTTTAGTCACAATGTAGGTCCAACAAGATAGATTTTCTCACAAAAATCCTAAATTACGCTTTTGTACAAAATTAAGAAAGTAAAATATAGTATACTCAATCATTCTCTTCCACACTTTACCCAAATCAACAAGTCTAATCTCTAACAACCATCCAAGCATAAATTCTAAAACCAAATAGCCGTCTAAAAGATTCCAAATTGCATATATAGTATCAATACTTGCGATGCAAAAAAAAAAAAAAGAAAACACACACACAAATCCTATTGACAATCAATTTTATACCTCCAAAATTAAATATCAATACTCAAATACGTTTTTAATACATGTTAATCTGACATAAAAACACCATTACAACTCTTCTATGGCCTTAAAAATATTAATATTTCAAAAGTAAAGAATAAATGCTACCTCCACAATAAAGTCAAAATAAAAAATTTCTAATCCAATGAAAGAAGTCCTTATGTAATTATTGACAATTTATAAAAGTTTTTCTTGATAACAAACAAAATATGACAAATTTCACATCTTTAGTTTTTCTTCTTATTTCATTATTTATTTCTCCATCACTGCGAGTCTCTTTATTTCCTTCTAATTTGACACATAATCTACTTCCTCTGTTGATTTTGTAATTTCAATTTTCTAACATCCACAAAATTAAAAATAATAAAAAGAGGTTATATTAACTAGAAAAGAGAGGAGCGAAAGATAGACGAGAGATAGAAAAATAGATTTTTTTTTTTTATTTTGTAAATTTATTGTCTTAAATTTAAAATTGTCTACTAAGTGGAGGGTATTATATGTATTTTACTATGTCAAGGGAGGTAAGTGTAATTTTTTAAACTTGAGGGAAGTTAAGTAAAATTGTTAAAAACATCAAGGGAGGTTTCTGAAATTATCCCTTCTTCTTTCTTTACTATGAGAATGATAAGCGCATGGCACTGCTTCAAGATCCCAAAATCAGATTTTGAAGGGGTTTTGAAACCCAAGATCATTTTGAAACCCAAGATTTTCCAAGGTTTGTCCTTCTCTGTTTTCCTTTTTGGGCTTTTGTAATTTTCCTTTTTTTTTTTTTTGTTTTCTCCTAGATCTGTTTAACGTTTCAGTAAGTAAAATCTTGACGTGGCTTTAAATCGACCCTAGATTAAAATCTTGACGTGGCTTCACATCGCCCCTAGATTAAAATCTTGACGTGGCGATTAAGCTCAGATTCTATCCATACAAACTGGTGTGAGAACCTCGACTCTCAAAACACTTCCCAGCTGAAATTTTCTTCGATCTTTTTCCCTCATCAGCCAATCAAGATGTTCTCAATCACTTAGAAGATTCTTTCCCTAACGCACAAATGCCACTTCCTACTGAACTACTGTCAAAAGGGAGTATTTTGTTCTGTAAATCATCAAACAAACTGAAATGGGAGTTCTCATCTTTGCATTCTGAAAAGGATAGCACATGATGGATGCATTCTCTGGTGCCAACTCCCAAACCAATTTTCTCAAACCAATACCAACCTCATTAATAACACACCATTCATCACAGCATTCCTCTCCTGCCTGTTTATCCCTCCTCAAGGTATAAACTTTACTTCCATAATCAACCGTTTGGAATACGAACATGATCTTGCATATTCAGTTTCCTTGAAGTATCAAATTATGGCTTACTAATGTGATATTTTTCTGTTACTTCTTGGAAATTCTGAAGAATCCCTGCTCGGATGGCTGCTCATTTGCATCAAAACAATCTTCATTTCTAAGAGGGCAATTCAAAACTGGGCACTTGCTTGGTTTCAATTCAAATCAAAGACATAGAAAGCATGCAGGTAAATAAGAGATTCAAAAAATTATATTGTCCTTTGAACAACTTCGGCGAGGATGATCGAACTGTTCTATTAACTCTTCGTTTACTGATGTTGAAGGGACTGTGGTTTCACCTAGTTGTGTACTGCCACTTACTGAGGAGAATGTTGAGAAGGTATTGGATGAAGTAAGGCCAGGCCTAATGGCTGATGGAGGAAACGTAGCCTTACATGAGATTGATGGTCTTGTGGTTGTATTAAAGCTACAAGGAGCATGCGGGTCTTGTCCTAGTTCAACAATGACACTGAAGATGGGGATTGAAACTCGGCTTCGTGATAAGATTCCAGAAATACTAGAAGTGGAACAGATTGTTGATACGGAAACTGGCCTTGAATTGAATGAGGAGAACGTTGAGAAGGTAATTGACAATAAGCTAAGATAGAGCAACAAATTCACTGTGTGTTTCAATATTGTTCCGGACCTTCTGGTTTATGGACATTTATCCAATCACCTGCATTTTATATTCCCACCAAACAAAAGAAAAAAATAATTCTGTTGTCATAACTCACAGAAAATTTATTGCTGTTGCTAATGATATTCTTATATGTTTGCGGTGGAGACCTGAAAGAATGAATGGATTTCACATCTGTTGGATATAAAGAAAAAATTGGCCTACTTGTAAAATTGTCTTCTTTCTTGTCAAACCAATACTGCAAAACTATGCCTTATTACTTGTCAGCCAATCAAGTTAGCTAGTTGGCTGCATTGCTGATAGTGTGCAGCTCTTTCATTTGAACTATTTCCTTGGTGAGAAATGTGATTTTCGTCTTTTTCCCCCATCATTATTCTCACATAGAGAAATCTAAGCCTCCTAGCCTCCACATATGTAGTCTACTGCTCTCTTCTTAGGATTGCATTTGAGTTGATTGGTTGTGATTTTACACGAGTCTTTATGTTACTTTGGAACTGAATTCTGCCTAATCTTCATAGAAGCCGTATGAAATTCATATGCTTTCAAGTTCCATGCATCTCAGGAACTCTGGAACATCACATATTGTGCAAATAACCTGATTAATGTTCGTTTTGAATGTTTTTATTTCTTTAGTCCATCTCTTAGGTACTCTTGCGTCTGTGATTGATTAAAGGAGTCTTTAGTCATTGCTGCTAAGAGAGGTAGGCTTTGAAATTATGCAGGTTCTTTCAGAGATTAGACCCTATCTGGCTGGCACAGGTGGTGGAGAACTGGAGCTCGTTCAGATTAATGACTACGTGGTGAAAGTTCGGTTAAGTGGCCCTGCAGCAGGCGTAATGACAGTCCGAGTAGCTCTAACACAAAAGTTGAGAGAAAAGATACCTGCAATAGCTGCTGTTCAGTTGATAGAATGAATTATCTTGTAAAAAAGACTACTAAAAATCAAGAAAACACAGTTTCAAGCACTTTGTTGCACTTTCCACAGTGAATGAGTTTCCGGTGAGTTTTGGCCTTTTGGGCTGCCATCTGATTTTATGCTTGTTCAACATAATTTTTTACTGTATTTTTTGGTGGAAGTAACAAATCAAATTTAACCTCATGGTGTGCTTTTCTTGGGATGGAGAATCCTATCCGCTTTCTCTCTGGATTGCCTAATGCTTGCGATGTGATTTCTTCCATATTTGCTTGTTTTGTCGAGTTACGATCACTGCTCACAGGATTAGGGTTCTAAAACTGAAAACTGAAACTAGGCATGCAACACCCTGATATTTCCATTAGGATGAGGATGGGGATGGCTCTGTAACTATTTTCTTCCAAGGAGCTCTGCCTAGTGCTTCTTGATATAACCAACCTGCAATAATTTGTCAGTTGAGAAACAATTGGCTATGCTAGAAGCTCCAAAAGATGCAACCAATCAACACTTTAATATTCCATTACAAAAATTAAGCAGTTCACTCTTTCCCATAATCATAGAATGGTGTCATTTTGCATCAGAAATCTGCAGCGGCCTGATGCTAGCTAGGATGCATTTACTTTTCCAGGCAAGACTAGGTAGAACTTGGATTGATTGACTAGAAATGGATTAATTTCCCCTGTCCATTTTTCCTTGTGCTTCAGATTCTAGTCGAAGCTCTTTTCCAAATTTCTAAGATTCTTTAGTAGTATTTGAGTAGTGTCTCCATTTAGATGAAAATCAATTGAGACATAAGCTCTGCAAATTATACAGTTCAAAGATTGTTCCAGTTGAGTTCCAGAGAGTTGCACGAATCCCCTGGTTCAGAAAGAAAAACAAACAGCTAGAGACACTTCTATAGCAAGTACCTCATATATGAGTCATATGTGACAGCATCTGGCCAATCCTTGAATACGATCAATGCAGATAGTTTACCAAAGAGCTAACAGAATTACCAGGACCAATCAGTCAGCAGTCACTGATGTTTCATTGTTTCTGAAAATCCCATCTGGAACAATGTGAAAATGCACTGGATTTTTTCACACATTCACATCTGCGGATCAAGAAATCAGATTCATCTGTCTAACTAACTGGAACTCAATGCTTGCACTTCTCTACATGTCAAAGGAAACAGGGGAGGCCAGAAAACTAATTATTGATTCTGTTGCTTTGCTAGTTGGCAGAAAAGAAAAAAGGGGTCCATTCACTTCTGGTGCTTAATTAAGATTTCATAATCCAATCACGAACACACAAAAAAGATAAGCATCCAATTATTTGCTTAAGGTTCTGAAAGAACACTAAAACAACTGATAGTGGCAATTGCATGATACAATGTAAATACTAATACAACAAAAATAAACACTAAAACAAGTGATGTAGACATTAAAAAACATAGCAAATTTTTTTACTTGTTAAAATATGTGCCCAAAATTAATACCCACCAGTCAAATTTCAAACTTGTCCACCTCCCACATTTAATTTTCTCTATAATCCAAATTGTGATAGTGGAGAAAATGGATCCCCGTGTCCAAAACAGGGCCCTGGACCTTAGAATTACCCTTATTTAGATTAATTTTTTAAAAAAACACGTCTTTGGTCCCAGATAGCTCTTTTTTCCAGCGTTATATCTTAAACTTCAGGACTGAAATAAAAAAGGG